AGAAGTGTATGTAAGTGTAAGTAAGCTTCAGTCAGAGCCCAGATACGTATGATTTCAATCAGTGCTTTATATAATTGCCATGATTACTGTTATCAAAATGCCCCTCAAGGGCCGGGGATTTAGCTCAGTGGTTTCGCCGCTTGCTGCACAAGTGCAAGGACCCGATTTTCATTCCCGGTACCAAAAAAAAAAAAGGCCCCTAAAATGCTAGAAAAGAAGCAAAGGAAGGAAGAGAAGATAAAGAAAGCAATCACAATCAAAAAGAAGGAAATTGTGGGAAATATGAGTGGTGTTCGTGTGACCAATCTCACTAATATGTACAGCATGTCAAAATCCACCATTCTTGACAATCTTACAGAGAAAAGACTTGGATAAGGTAGCTAGTGTTGGTAAAGGTGTTACTCAACACCTTTAGTAAGTCATGATCAACAGTGTTAGACCAAGTAGAAAGGCTATTACGAGCAGATAAATGAAAGGCAGATGGCAAGTTATAGCCTGAGTCTATAATTTATTAAAAAGCTAGAGCTATAAATGCAGATCTCATAAAGGATACCATCAACGAGTGATAATGGTTAAACATTTTGTGCCAGCAAGGGGGTGATTTCACAATTTTAAAGCTAGAACTGGGGTTCATAGAGTGAGTATGCGTAGTGAGCCGGCCAGTGCCGTGGAAAATTACATACACCACATGACAAAGAGAAATAAATAGCTTTGCTCTCATCAGGTTTTCAACCTGATGAAACTAGCCTTTTCTGGAAGAAAGTGCCCAGGAAAACATACATTACCCAGGAAGAGAATAAAATGTCAGGCCACAAGCCTATGAAGCATAGTCTAGCTTTACTGCTATGTGCCAATTTGAGAAGTGACCTCAAAATAAAGCCTCTCTTTGTTTATCATTCTGAGCCCCCTAGAGTGTTCAGAAAACATAAAGTCGTGAAGAATAGGCTAGGGGTCATGTGGAGATCTAATGCAAAAGCCTGGGTAACAAAGAGTACTTTTGCCTGAGTGGATCAGGGAGACTTTATCCTACTGTAAAGAAGTATTAGAGGACAAAGGTTTACTACTCAAGGCTCTCATCTTGCACAATGCTCCTGCTCACCCACAAGATTTGGAAGAAAAACTGGCTGAAGAATCCCATGGCTCTCAATTGAATTCCTCCCACCTAATATAACTCCTCTACTGCAGCCCAAAAATCAGCAGGTTATAACTAACTTTAAGAAGGTATACACCAAGGAACTGTTCCTGAAGTGTTTCCAGATGGACTCAGATACAGATTTAACCCTTAAAGAGTTCTGGTATTAGAACATCTTTTCCTATGTGGGGTTAATTGAGAAATCCTGGGCCAATGTCTCTCTAATGACACTTAGATTTGCCTGGAAGAAAGGCTGTGTAGAGGAGCCTGCGTCTTCAATTGACCCTGTGGTTGATGACATTGTCACTACAGCAGAGTCCACAGGCTCGCAGGTAGACAGTGGTGATGTTGAGGAACTGGTGGAGGAACACTCACAGGAACTGTCTACAGAGGAGCTGCAGCAACTTCTGGCTGAGCAACAGAGAATGGCAGCTGAGGAGCTTTCTGAAGGGGCAGGGGAGTATCAACAATCAGTGCAGCAAAGTCCTTCTAAATTAAAGGAAATCCTGAAAAAATGGACAGAGCTACAAACATTTGCAGAGAAGATCTACACAGAGAAAAAGTCAATCACTGAATTCATTTGCTTAGTGACAATGTCATGTCATACTACAGAACAGAGTTAAAGAAAAGGCAGAAACAGACAACCTTACGCCAGGTTTTAGTTCTGAAAAGATTGAGACCTAGTGAGTCAGAACCAGGTCCTAGTTGGTTACAGACTCTCCCAAATAGAGAAAGGACACCAAAGAACCAGATTCCTGATGTTCTTATGGAGGGGAATCTCCTTCCCAACAATAACCACCTTCCATTTCATCTTCCCTTCTTATAAGTCAAAGATATCAACTTGAATGGTGAGTACAGTATGAAGTTGTTTCTGGTAAACTAGGCACATTTTATAACTTTATGGTGAATATACTAGGAAGATTATTGGTGTTTTCTTATTATGAAAAAGTTAGATAAGGGGTGCTTTGGGAGGTTCAAAATGCACTACGGGTATTTCCATTATTTCTAATGGGAAAAAAATGTTACTTTATATTGTATTTCTTAAGGGAAAAATAGTCTTGACTTACAACCAACTTGAGTGACAACCAGGCCTCACGAACAAACTGAGTTCGTAAGTCAAGAGTCTATAAGTTACAGAAAAACAAAGCTTTTGTGCCTAGGGAGGGGAGGGCTGTTGGGGGGGGGGATGGGACAAAATAAAATAAAATTTATTTTTTAAAAACATAAGGAAAAGGGGCCGGAGATTTAGCTCAGTGGGTGTGTCACCTGCCTCACACAGGAAAGGTTCCAAGTTAGATCCCCCGTACCAAAAAAAAAAAAAAAGGAAAAGAACAATACTACGAATAATGTTAAACACAATAGTTAATACCTATTTACTGTCACACATCGTTCTTAATCTTTAAGTCCCAGGAGAGCCTATGACACATATGCTATCTCTATTTTAGATGGAGAGTCTGAGACACAGTTATTGAGTTTACACAGCTAGTTAAGAGTCAGAATTACAATTCTTATCCAGGTAGTTTTGGCTTCAGAGACTACTAAGATAAAAACTTTAAGTTTAGTAAGGAACTATTACATACCCACCCTTAATAAAAAAGACAGATTCCAATTTCAACTTTTTCTTGCTAGTCAGACACAAAACCTTAAGACACATAACACAAACAGCCAGCCGAGAGAGGGAGTTAAGACAGGCAGATTTAAACCATGGAGAACAAGTAATAAGCTACCTTGTGAATTTGTGTGGATGTGTTTAAGTAGTACATTGATAACAAAAACTTTAGTTGTTGGCAAAGCACTGTGGTCTACTAAGCAAACTTAAAAAATAATTTCATTATAGTGACTTGTTTGCCATGGAATTTGGTGTAGCAAAATTTTAACTACTCACTGCAAGTGTAAGATGATAAAATCATTTACTTTTAGAGCATTCTGCTCAATTTATGACAACTTATAATAAACATGACATAGCTAGATAAGAAAATGTTTAGCATTTCCCAATTTATTTGGGTATGAAGCATCTTTAGCAGCATCTTTAGCTTTTTTGTAACCTGAATATACTGAATCAGGTATTTTTAATTTACGCTACTGACATGATTTGAACCAGAAAATACCCATACAGACATAAAAGAAGTATTGTAATCTTTTAGATTATGCCAAATGTTCTGAAATTCAACAATTTATAGATGATTTCTCATTAATGTTTAAGAGTCCTTGGACAAAGAAAAAAGAAAAGGAGTCAAAAAAAGTAGAAGGTATGAGAAAAACAAAAAATAATAAATATATATGAACTCCAACGAAGTAATCTGCCAGTTTTTTCTTTTTTTTAATGTTTTTACACTGGTCTGTCATTACTTGCAACATTAAATACCATAAAAAATTAAGAATTAACGTTGCATTCCATCTGTTTCTATTGGCTTGAAACAGTACAACTGCTCTGAATTATTTTGGGCCTGTAACAATACTTAAAACATTCTATAATTAGCTATTTTATTTATAGTAAAGTCAAGCAGCTGCTAATCACTATACAGAAACACAAACTCAGGATAAATTTACCCTTAAAATTTAAATGCTTGTTCAGCAAATACAGTACACACTTAATTTCAGATAAAATTTTTTTAAAAAACAGACTAGTGCTACAGGAGTGGTGGTGTATGCCTGTAATCAATCTCAGCACTGGAGAAGGTGAGGCAGGCGGGTCACATTAAGTTCGAGGCCAACCTGGACGACATAATGAGTTCAAAGCCAGCCTGAATTGTAGTGAGACCCTGTCTCTAAATAAATAAATAGACTAGACAGGACAGTTGTTAACTAGATTAGTTAAAATCTTCGGTCCTCACTGCATATTTTTAAAAAGCAATTATTTGTAGCCTCTCCTTCTCGAAAGTATGGAACCTGGAAAACTGTGAAGGCTCCAAGGACACAGGCACCCAAACCCTCTGCTGGGTAGCAGTTCTCAGCGCTGGACCACTCCTCGGGTTTCAGCTAGGAAACAAAGTGAATTCTCTCCTCAAGCCCAAAACCAACCAGTCTGACCTGATTTAATCTCTTGTGCGAGTTAAAAGCAAAAAAGCTGCCTATCAACTGATGAGTGGATAAAGATGTGTTTTTTTATACAATGGAGTACTACTCTGCCATAAAAAGGATGAGCTTCAGACATTTATAGCTAAATAGATGGACTTTGAGTTCATCCTCTTAAGTGAAATAAATAAGACACACGTTTAAATACAGCATTGTTTCTCTGGTGTGAGAAACTTAAAGTGGAAATAAGGTCTGAAATGTATAATGGATGTTGGAAAATGGGAAGAAAGTGTTCAAATAGGAAGGGAAACAAGGGAGGAGGGAAGGAGAAAGGAAGGGACAAGAAAAAAAAAGTGAAAACAGAAAGAAAAAATGGAAACAAGGCTTTTGTACATAGGGAGGGGAGGGAGCTTGAGGGGGGGAAGGGGATAAAATAAAATCTATTGAAGAAAAGGGAAGAATTTTTAAAAAGCAAAAAAGCTATACGAGATTATGACAATTCAGATATGCACTTCAGAGGACAGCTAGCAGGTGCCCCCTAAGAGTTTAGGTAACTACTCGCACTCGCTCCGAAGGGGGGCGGAGCCGGGCGCGCCTCGCCGGGGAGGCAGAAATTCCCCAAAACAGCTTATAAGTCAGAGCCCCACTCGCCGGCGCTAGGCTCGGGCTTCCACAGGTACTGGGGTGCAAAGCAGGGATGAGCACCGCCCGAGGGAGAAGGGCGAGGATCCAGGCCCCGCAGAGAGCTCGAGAGTCACGACGCCCCGGGAAGTTTCTGGAAAGCGCGCGGTCACCGGGATGGAGAGGGCGCGGCGGGTGCGTCTGCCGCGGGGCGAGGACGCCGGGCCCTGAGGTAAACAAAGAGCCAGAGAGGATGAGCCGGCCTGCCACTCACCAGGATGCATTTGAAGAGGTTGTTCTCCTTGGGCGGCAGCTGCACGTTCGGCATCGCTGCCGGCAGCAGGGCTGGGTGGACACCGGGACGAGCTGCTGCGGAGAGTCGGGCCCCGGGGGACGAGTCACTTCATTGGCCTAACCTTGAGGCCGAGCAACAGCGCTGGGCTCTTTGGAAGGACTGGCAATGCAAACGGAAGGTAGGACAAGCCGGATACACCTGGGTTCGTTCAGTCCCCTTTTCAGGGGAGCGGTGGCGGGAGGGGTGGCAGCAACGGTTCCCGCGCGCGGCAAGATGGTGGTCAGGCATCCCCCACACACACCTGCGGGGCGCACGCGCAGGACGCCCGGTCCTCGGGCCCGCGGGGGGGGGGGGGGCGGCGTGGGGCCGTGGTGAGGAGTTCTGGCGGCCCCTGCCCAAACAGCCAGCAACTACGAAGAAGTCTTTGCTCCCAGCACTCTCCTATGGAGCCATGTCCAATCCAGAGTTCCTACCCACTGTGTGCCCACTATGGCATTACTAATTCTTGAAAGTTCTTTGGCTTTCAGTTTATCTACATCCTCAGAAATAAAGGGTTGGGCCGGGGATTTAGCTCATTGGTTATGGTGCCTGCCTTGCAAGCTCATGGTCCCCGAGTTCGATCCTCGATACCAAAAAAAAAAAAAAAAAAAGGGTTAATCTTGGGAAGAGCCAAAGCGCCAGTGAGCCTCATTCAGCCTTACCTCAATCATTAACTATTTTCATATATCCAGATCTTCAACTTCATTCACCCTCGCTCTGCCCTAACCCGGAATCAGGCAGCTCACATTGGTTTGTCATTTCCACTTTGCTGTCTCACCCCATTGCCACTTCTCCTTCCCCATGACCATCCCCACTCAACATCTCCTAGGCAAGCCCAGTGGCACAAGGGAAACCTACCATCCCAAACCCTGGGAAATGAGTAATTATAAATATTCATAATTTTTAATTTTTCCTCATCTTTCATGCATGATGAATGTATATTTTGGTGGTTTATAGTAGGGCAGGGATGTGGAGAAAGGTTGGGTATTGAAAAAAATGCCAGTTGTGCTGCTGGTAGTTTTCAGCCCAAACCTTAGAGAGCATGAAAGATATAATGTGTGTGCAGTCAGAAAGCCTGGATTAATCAGTAGCTGTAATTGTATTACTGACTTCCTGTGTAGTCTGGATCAAATCTTATTTCTGCCTTACAAAAGAAAATCCACTTAAACATTATAATCTGTTTCACAGGAGAATTATGTGAATTTAATGCTTAGTCATTTTAAAGCCCATGATAAAAAATAAATGCTGTGTAAATCTGAGCTTAACATTTCTCAGAAAGAAGGCTGGAGCCAGTTGAGGGCATCATGGATTTCCACCAGATGTTCCTTCCTGGTGCTTCAGACAAGGTGTAGCTTTTTTAGAATCATGCATTAGGTAAAACAGCAGCAGTAGTATCTGTAAAGTCCTTCACAGTTCCCAAAGCATTTTTTCATACATGATATGGGCCACTGATTCACTTTGCTAAACCTGTGAGAACCAAGGAGAAAAAATTATTGGAAAAATAATTTCTCAGCCTCATTTATAAAACATATCTTGCAGAACCCTCTGGCAGGGTAAAATCAAGGAGTTTCTTGCTGTTGCCCAAACCGATTTAACCATGTAATTAAAGGCTGATGTGAAAATGACTTACTGGATTGCATATTACATTCCACCTGATGTTTCTGCCCTCTTCGAACTTTCTTGCTTTTATTTCTGAGGAAGAAAAGGCATGGTTGTTCCTCCCTTGAGCTCTTCAACCTATTCCCATTTTGCTTTTCCTGAACTTTTACTCATCAGTTAATCCCTTGTCTAATTTGCATTTTCTCCCTCCTTTTATTGCTTATATTCTAACAGGAGGAGACAAACAGTAAACAAGATAATCCCAGACTGTGGGAAGTCCTGTGTGGGAAACATTAAGTTCATGTGCAGGTAGTGGGGGTTGAGGAGAGAACTACTAGGAATGAGTCCCTTCTGGGGAGGTGGTGACAACTGAGCAGAAACCTAAGGGTAAAAACAGAGCTAAGAAGGTAAGCTGGAACAGCATATTTTAGACAAAGTGAGCTACCTACAAATGTCCTGATGCAAGAACAAGATTGGCATGATCAAGGAACAAAAGGAACAAGTGAAAATTTGTCTCTATTCCCAGGTTCAAGGATGTGGCTAGACTCTAGCCTCCAGAGTATAATTTTTGAGAGGAAAAGTGGTATACAGTTCGGTCAAAAATGTAGGTCAGGGGCTGGGGATTTAGCTCAGTGGTTTCGCCGCCTGCTGCGCAAGCACAAGGGCCAGAGTTTGATCCCTGGTACCAAAAAAAAAAAAGTAGTTCAGGTCGTGCAGGATTTGGCATCTCAGGCAATGTCATTTGATGTTTTTATCCTGTCTATTTTTTGTGTTGCTATAACTAAATCCCTGAGGCTGCATCCTTTATAAGCAAAAAGCTTATTTAGCTCAAGAGTTCTGCAAGTCTAAGAGCATGGTACTGGCGTCAGCTTCTGGGGAGTGTCTCATGGCAGTATTACATGGCAGGAGCCCTGGTGTGAGAGAGAAGTCACATGATTAGAGAGAGCATAAGATGGGGGAAGGGCCAGTCTCCCACTTTTGCTCTTTTATAACAACTTGCTTGCTTGCTCTAAGGAACTAATCTTTTCCTAAGTCATGACTCATGCATCTCCCATTAGGCCCTACCTCTTAAAGGACCCACAACATTTCAACACCATTACATTGGGGACTAAACTTCTAGTACAGGAACTTTTGGGGAACAAAGGATATTCAAACCAGCCATAGCATATAAGTTCAGTGAAAATCCATGAAAGTGTTTTCAACAGGAAAGTGACGTGATGGATTTCTTTTTTAAAAGATCACTCTGATTACCTGGAGAAAATAGACAAGAAAAAATGGGACTCCTAAAAAAGTAGCATCTCTATTTTTTTTTGGTACTGGGGATCGAACTCAGGACCTTGCGCTTGTGAGGCAGGAACGGCACCACTGAGATCCCTGGCCCCAGCATCTCTATTCTTTAAGATGTAGTTTTTCTGGGCCGGGGATTTAGCTCAGTGGTTCCGGAGCCTGCCTCACAAGCGCAAGGTCCCGAGTTCGATACCTGGTACCAAAAAAAAAAAAAATAGATGTAGTTTTTTGGCCCCACAGTCTTCTGAAAGTGTTTTCTAAAAATATCACTAATTCATTTGTTACTGAGCACCTACAACGTTATTTATTATTGAGCACCTACAATGTTACAGGCAGTCTTTTTTTTATTCAATTAAACAAGTATAATTTTCAAGTCATCACAAAATTTCCCACAAAAACTTACAATCAGCAAAATATTTTCTCATTTTTCATGTAACATTTTCATACAATTTCATGATTTCATTAATATATGTTACAATAAGCCTTCATTAGTCCCTTAAGACGATGATATAAATAGTCTATACAACCTACCATAGAAAAAAAAAATGAAGCCAAGATTTCCAGTGATTTCATAGCAGCCCGGCACACTTTTGGTGACCCCAACAAGAACCCTCTTGAGCAAGCTGGAAGCCATGCATCTTCCAGAAGCAGGGCCTCCTGCAGCCTCAGCAGAAACAGCAAGGCCCCAGGCCCACATGCCTGCTGGACCTCAAAGCGAGCCTGAGGGAGGAATGTGGCAGGAAGGTAGGGAACCCTCAATCCTTGACCACTGGGGAGACTAGAGGGCTAGTACAACTGGGATCTCTGCACACCCACCCCAGCAACGCAGGGAGTTACAGCTCTGCTTCCAGCTTCTATAACATCAATTTCAGGTAGGAAAGTGCCTCATCTCCCCCTAGAGTTAAAAATAAAATTATAAAGCAAAACTAAAAGTCAATGCTCATGTAAGTGGTGTCCATCCTGACCTGAGTCTCATGCTCCCTACTGACCTTTCAGGAGCCATGGGCTTCGGCATCTCCACAGGGACCCTGAGTCTACACCACTCAGAATCGACATCTGAACTAACCCCTGGTCAATCAGCAGCAGGGACCCACCCAAAGCCTGTGGTGATTTGTGGCTTGCACTGAAAAGGTGACCAGTAACAGCTGAGAAAGTTCCAGTGGTATCCATGTTTTCTCAAAAGTCCAAACTATAAGATGCTCATGACAATTCAAGTTTTCTATATCAGGAGTCTGGTAGTAGGAGAGCCAAACCTTGTGTCTTATAATAAGGCTTTTCACATTAGAGAGTTAGACACGAGCCCTGGTTGGAAGGAAGAACTACCCAGGATGTCTTCCCAGGGCTTAATGGACACCTCATTTTAGAACATGAGTGGCTTCCTGGGATGTGGCACTCACGTCCTACATTCCTTGACCTGGAAGATGTTTCTAGTGCTCTTCAATTTCATGTCTCCAGAGCCAATCTCACCTCAACAAGGGTTAAAAGCAAAATATTCACAGCCAAAAGTTATCCAACACAACAGAAAATAGTTCTGTCATTCAACTTTCACACTCAAGTTTCAAAGACACTGCAGGGGGAAAGTTAGACCTTATGGAGAACTAATGTGCAGTCTTCACTCGCCTTGAACCAAGTCGACATGACAGTGTCATCTTTGGCATGCATAGTCTTTGAGTAATAGTTGACTATGTTGGCATCTAGTTTGCACTGGTAAGGGATGCTCTCATACGGCTTGAGGTTCAGCTCCAGCACAAACACAGAGAAGGCCAGCGGGGACCTTGAAGATACAAGGAACCTCTAATCAGAGCTAGCATCCTGCAGACAGACACAGGGAGAGCGAGTTCATGATGGAGCAGTCCTTGGCAGTCATGGCCATGTGATACTGCTGCACCTTCGTTAATGCGAAGGCCACTGTCTTGTCATCTGGACAGATCAAGTAGCTTCTGGTAAAACATGTCATCATCAGGCCCATCTATTTGTAACATTTTTCTCTCCTCGGGAAACTCTTCTAGGTACCGTTCAACATGGTTTTACAGAGGATAGAGGCTTTCAGTGTCCAGCAGGTCCAACATCTGCACCTGGAGGGTTTTGTACAGAAGACACCCCTTTGGTAATCTTGACCACTCTGGGGTGTTTTTCCTTGGCAGTGGAGGCTCCGGCTGAAAGGGCTGGCTTCAAAGAGATGTGGGCCCCAGGGCCCCAGCTTCAGGTTCTCCACCTGGCCCTTGTCTGAGCTGCTCAGCAGCACCATGTGAT